CTCTGAGGATCCCCGCGCGGGCTCGCTCCTCGTCGGCCTCCTGGGCACCGTCGACGTCGCGGACCTCGCGTGCCACGTGTGCACGGGCGGCTGGGACGGCGACGTCGGCGGGGAGGCGGAGCGGCTGGCGCACTAAGGACGTCGGGGTTGGATCGTTACTCGGGGGCGCGCGCGGGGATGGGGTTCGTGGGATTGGATCGTGGGTGCGCGTCGGTGCAACGGCGCCAGATGAAGTTCAAACGAGGCGGCCGCGGCCCGCGGGCTGGCCGGCGCGGGGGACCAAGCCGCCGCCCCGGCCGCGGCCCGCGGGCCGGGCGGCGCGGGGTCTAGGGCCGGCCGGCGCGGGGGGCCCATTCATCCTCGAAGTCGAGATCAGTGAGATCGCCGCGCCGCGGGCGGCGGCCGCCGGACGAAGGACTGAAGGAGCGAGCACCTGGATAAGCGATCGCGGAGCGAGCACGAAGAGAAGGGGCCGGTTGAGGGCCACGCTGCGCTTCCGCCGACAATTTCAGGTGCTTCAAGAAACAAAAGGCAACGAACACGCAGGCTAAGACGGTGAAAAGTAATTCCAAAAGGTAGCCGGCAACGGAGAACGCGGCCATCCACCCCGCCCACCAGATCTCGCCCTCGACCTTCCGGACGAAACCGTCGAAGCTCATCCCCGCATCTCTCTCCTTCTCGCATCTCGCCACGCAGTCTTTGAACCGATAGAGAGCACCCATGGCTTCGTCGCAGACGCCCTCGCACTGCTCGGAGACGGACACAGACTCCTCCTCGTACTTGTGCTCGCGGCGCTCTCTCAGGGCCGTGCGAAGATCGAAGACGAGTGTCTTCGCGGGCGCGGGCGCCGCCGGCGCCCGGGGCCGCCCCGGCGGCGGCGACGCCTTCTGCAGCTTCCACTCCTCGCACAGGTGCACGCACTGCTCCATGCGCTCCTTCGTCTTCGTGATTATCTGCTTGGGGCACTCTTCGCAGCATTCCGTGAGGGAGCTTTTGAAGCACGCCTCGACGTCCGCGCGCATGTTGGCGGCGCCCGCGGCGGCGAAGGCGGCGGCGAGGCAGAGCATGGACAGGCGCGACGGAGTCATGGCGAGGCGGGGGCGGCGAGGCTCGTGTGCGCGGTGGAGGGTAGAGGCTGCGGGCGGGCGCGGCGTGATCCGGGCTGATCCGGCTCGATCGGGGCTCCCTGGCCTCACTCAAATAGTTGCACCACAAGGTGAAGCAGCCAAGCATGGCCCAGCAGCTAGAATTCTAATCGTAATTGTGCTCGTGCAAGAGGCTCGTGCGCTTGCCAGTTTGTGAGTCGTGTCAATCGCAAGGCCATCGCGAGAGACGCTCGAGCCAGGCAGCGAGTCGTGAGCTTGCAAGAGCATGGCCAAGGGCGCTCGCCGCTGGGTGCGGCGCGCCGCCGTGTCCATCGTGCACAAATCGCGCGCGGCCTGGTCCTGGCTGAGGCGGCAGAGAACGCTGCCGGCGCCGCCGCCGCCGCCGCTCCTGCGGGGCCCGACGCTGCGCGGCGAGGCGGACGCGCTCGCGCGGCACTCGCTGAGCGACTTCGTGCTCGACGAGGTGCTGGCGTGCCAGGGCGGCACGCACTGCCGCCTCCTGGGCTCGTTCCGCGGCGAGGCCGCGCTCGTGACGCTGGACCTGCGCGGGCCGCTGCCGGACGGCGCCGCCCTCGCGGCCGCATTGCCCGAAATGCGAGCCGCTCTCAGCGGCTGGTCCGGCGCGGAGTACAGCTTCTACGCGGCGACGCTGCGCGCGGCGCCGGCGCCCCAGTACGCGCTGCAGATCCACTGCCCGGCGTCCGAGGACGCCGTGCGCCGCGCGCGGCCGACGCGCTTCGTCACGCACGTCGAGACGCCGGAGCTCTACGCGGAGCGCGTCGAGCCCTACGTGCGGCGCCTGCCGCCGGCGACGTGGATCGACCGCGTCTGCGCCCTCGAGGCGGAGCGCGTGCTCTTCGCCGGCGGGCCGGGCCGGGGCTTCGTCGTCGTCGTCGACAGCAAGTGGCGGTCGCACCCGCGGTTCACGCACCACGAGGATCTCCGGGCCGCGTGGCGCGGCGCGCCCTGGACGGACGCGCTCTACCTGCTGGCCATCTCCCGCGACCCGGCGCTGCGGTCCATCCGCGACCTGCGGGGCGCCGGCGCCGCGGCCGTCGTCTCGGCCATGCGCGCGGCGCTCGTCGCCGCGGCGCGCGACGTCTACGGCGTGCCGGAGGGCCAGCTGCGGCTCTTCTTCCACTACTGCCCGCGCTTCTGGCGCCTCCACGCGCACGCCGCGCGCGTCGACGGCCCGGCGTCCTGCGCCGCGGACCGCGCGCACCTCGTCGTCCACGTCGAGGACAACCTCCGCCGCGACCCCGCCTACTACCGCGACGCGACCCTGTCCTACCGCCTCCGCGAGGGCGACCGCCTCCACGCCGTCCTCGACGCGCCCGCGTAAGCATTACAAGTAGCATTACCACCAGGTGGCAGGTGAGCACGCCTCTAAGCACGCAGATGCAACATGGGGTAAACGTTGACCTAGACGCTGGAAATTGCCACAGCATGTGGGCCTTTTGGACTGGCGTCTCCAACTCCGCGCCCCCTTCGGCGGGGCTCATACATCCCAGACTCGCGTGCGAGCGCGAGGCTCCGCTCGAAAACGTACCCGGTCTGCGTCGGTGAGTGAGAAACCGCCGCCGCCGCAGTGGAGCAGCCGCGAGAGCGCTCGTGGCGGCGG